CACCTACCACAGTCTAGTGGTGGGAAAATATCTACATTTTCTTTAAAAGTACTATTTCCTTATTTAGTAAATCATGTAGAATATTATGTCATACATGCTATGAAAAAACAGAACATGGTAAGGAAAATTGGGAATGCCAGAGGGAGTGTAATTGTAAATAAGGTAGTAAAAGGGGGCCTCACAGAGGTGGTATTTGAGCAAAGACCTGAAGGAAGTGAGAGTGTACAAATCTCTGGCAAAAGAGCCCAGTGCACAGGCCATGAGACAGGAATGTGCTTGGCAGGTTCAGAGTTAGAGCAAGTGTGGCTGGCACCGAGGGTGAGAAGGCCAAAGGAAATGGGGGGCCACATGGGGTAGTGATTTGTAGGATGCCGCTTCAATAGTCTGAGAGGACAGCGGTTTGGGCCAGGCCTGTGACAGTGAAGCGAAGAGGGTGAAGAGGCTGGATTCTGGATACTTCTCTCTCTCCCCCCCTCCCTCCCTCCCTTCCTTCAAGATGACTGGTAAGGTGATCTTAACCCTTGACTTGGTGTTGTCAGCACCACGCTCTCCCAAGTGAGCGAACCGGCCATCCCTATATGGGATCTGAACCCGTGGCCCTGGTGTTATCAGCACCACACTCTCCAGAGTGAGCCACGGGCCAGCCCCAAGATTCTGAATACTTTAAAGGTACAGCCAACAACATTTCTGGTGGGATTAGAAGTAGAATGTGAGTTAAAGAGAGGAGTCAAGAGATTATAATTTTGTTAACTTTGTCAAATGGATGGGTACAAATTTACATCTCACTGCTTTGATTTACATTTCTATAACTACTACTGAAGTTAGCATCTTTTTACATGTTTACTGGCTATTTGTATTGTTTTCTTCTGAGAAGTTCCAGTTTTGCTTTGTTTTCCTTTCCTTTCCTTTGGTTAATGCTTGTTTTCCTTACCAAAAATCTTGTCCATGGGGTAGTGTTGCTTGGTGTTTATCCAACTTCTCTATGAGATTAGTTTCTGGTTTTAGAAAATATAGCATTGCAGAGCTGGTAGGTAACACAAGGATTCTTGGTCAAACCTCCCTACATATGAGAAAATTGGGGCTCAGGAAGGTTAACCGAGGCACAGTTGAGTGACTTATTCAAGGTCACACAGCTAAGTGCTGGAACTGTTGCTACAATTTAGCTTTCCTGACAACTACTCAATTTCACTTGCCATCTACTATACCATTTTATCTTAGTAAGACGTCTGTCTTACCAATAAAACTAACTGAATTAATCCCATCTCTATGAGGGTTCAAATTTGGAGATCAAAAGGAAAATCAATAACATCCTACAACCCAGGCTAAGAAACTAGATTTGCATTGCTTTTTCCACTGTAACCTTTGAAACAGGAAAAAACAGGCGAGCTGTCTTTCCTGTGTGGCTCCTCCAGCCTCTTAGTCTTGCTGAGATCAAGTCACTCCCAGGGCTCCCTTCTGTCTCATTACTACTCTAATTTGCCTTAGTTAAATCCACCTAGATTATTAAGGTTTTTTTTTTGTCCTTTTTGAGACCGGCCGCACCGCGCTCAGCCAGTGAGCGCTGTGAGCGCACCGGTCATCCCTATATAGGATCTGAACCCGTGGCGGGAGCGCTGCTGCGCTCCCAGCGCGGCACTCTCCCGAGTACACCACGGGCTCGGTCCTAAGGTTTTTTTTTAACCCTAATAAATCAAGCTTTTAGATTAACAGAAGAGAGAAAAGGGATAAGAACAGCTTACCTTAGTGAAAAAGGAACTGAGAAAATTAGAGCATCGGAAAGCCAAGCCTTGCTGAGTCTGTCCTGTTCAGCAACATATCTATGTCTCACTGAGGACCTGGGACTCTTCCAGGAAAAACCAGACACTAGGTACTGAAAATGGGCAACAGGCAAAAGGCTCTACTGAAACAATAATCAGAGTAGTAAGTGGATCCATCCTAGCCACACATATTTTAAGCAAGAGGAAGCTCAGAGAAATTGAAAGGGCTTTAGACTGATCAGGGAACAAATCTAAAAGGGTGAGTGTGACACCTTACCAAGTCGCTGCTGCTGAGTTCAGCATGTGCCTTACCTGTCCCCTTTCAAAAAGCAGCAGCCTTCAAAAACAGTTTGTGCCGGCTATAGAATATTTGGAAAATATACAAATATTATAACCCTCCAGCCTTTTCTATTCGCATCCACATTTTTAAAACATTAAAAAATGCCGTGCATACTGTTTTTAAGCTGTTTTTTCAGTTAACATACTGAGCATTTCTTCCAATTCTTAAATATTCCTCTAAAACATGTAGTGGCTATCTAGTATTACACAAAATAATTTTATTAAACATTCTGTACAAAATCATTACTATCCAGTTTTATAATTGAATTTTCTTACCTAAATACAGTATAAGTATTTCCCCATGTCTCTGTTCTTCTAAAACGTGACTTTTAATGGCTAGTAGGAATGAAAATTGCTATAGCCTCTCGGGTTATCGTAGGTATGATTATGGCATACCCGGTAGGAGAGACACTCCATGAAGGCAGGTACTTCGTGGAGCCAAAGGACAGTGCCAAATAACCACCTTGTGAAAAAATACATGAATTTAATTAACCAACTCCCTGTGGCTACATACCGAGCTTATTTCAAATTTTCACTACTATAAAAATTCTTACACAGATATCTTTCTGGACAGGTCAGATGAACTCCTTAGACTCAATTCCTAGGAGTGGGTCAGAGAACATACATATTTGAAAACAAATTAATTTATCATCAAAACAGACCACTTCTGAGAGGAAAAGGCAACGTAATCCAGGACTGCCCTGGCCAAACTGGGATGTAAAATTACATGTCATATGATGCCAAACTGGGCCTTAGAGGCTACAGCAATTTACATTCCTTCTAGCAGAGTATTAGAGTACCAATTTCCCCAGGCCTAACACTGGTGACTAAACTCTTGTACATCTTATACCATATTAAATATGTAACTCAAATATTCTTATTTCTTCCTTTGGTATAAAATAATAAAGAAAAAATACTTTTTATTTATTTATTTATTTTTAAAAAGATGACCGGTAAGGGGATCTTAACCCTTGACTTGGTGTTGTCAGCACCACGCTCACCCAGTGAGCGAACCGGCCATCCCTATGTGGGATCCGAACCCGGGGCCTTGGTGTTATCAGCACCGCACTCTCCTGAGTGAGCCACGGGCCGGCCCAGAAAAAGTACTTTTAAAAAAAGAAAATCCCCTTGTTCCCTTTTCTTGGCTTCAGGTTTCCTTTTCTAGCGGTCTGGATTCCTTTCTGTCTTCAGACTTTTTCTATAAAGGGCCAGATTGTATCTTTTAGGCTTTTTAAAGCTATATGGTCTCTGTTGCAACTACTCAATTGTCATTACAGCAGCCACAAATAATATGTAAATTAATTACTGTGGCTGTGTTCCAACATAACTTTATTTATGGATACTGAAACTTGGATTTCATGTAAAATTAATGTGTCACAAAATATTCTTATCTTTATTTTTCCCCCAAACATTTAGAAGTGTAAAAACAATTCTTAGCACTTGGGCAATACAGAAACAGGAGGTGGGTTACAGTATGCTGACCTCTGACTTAAGAAATGAATGCTAGACAATTAAAACAAACCTGGGGGGATCACTCTTTCACGTAAATATAGAGAAGCCAACATTTTTTCCTTTTTTCTAGATTACATAATTTTCTGCTTACTGTCAAAGATACTATGAGTAGATTTGCATCACATACTCCTTCAACTATACGTGCTTCATAAAAATATAAATAAAAATGAGAGAATTTAATTGTGCAAACAACTGTGCCCACCATCCCACTCAATGAGCACGTTTCCTAGAGGGGACCACGGGACAGGAGACAGGAATTTGCTATTCTCTTGGTTGGCATCAGTTTCCACTTGCTTCTCATAGCATAAACATCTCACTTCATTAAGTGTGAGTCTACAGTTCGGATATATATTTTTGTACAATATAGCTCCTAAACACGAGCCAACACCTTTATCTGATATTCAACTGAAGAAAGAGTAATCTGTTCTAATGCTAAGGATAAACTGTCTCTTTTGGATTTACTAAAAAACAACAGTATGTTGGTTTCTGGTGAGTCATATTTTAATATACATTATGGAAAATTTAAGGAATTTTCCCAGTGGCAATTCAAATCACATAAATTATCATGCATTAATTGTAGAACCTAGCTTGTACATAGGGATGAATCTATATTAATTTTTTTTTTTTTTTGTCTTTTTTGTGACCAGTAAGGGGATCGCAACCCTTGGCTTGGTGTCGCCCCACGGCGCTCAGCCAGTGAGCACACTGGCCATCCCTATACAGGATCTGAACCCGCGGCACCGCCGTGTTCCCAGCACTGCACTCTCCCGAGTGCGCCACGGGGTCGGCCCATTAATTTTTATTCCTTAAAAAAAAGCCTCCCATTACCATATCAACTCAATATTCAATGTTGGTAATTAAAAAAATTAGAAGGAAGAACAGAGGAAAGATACAAATTCATTAAGACATATCACAAACAGCAGGTATCAAAGTGGCTTCCCATCAGTCCTCCACACAAACAAGTTAGGATGTTTCTAAGAGCCCATATGGTAATAAAACAAGATTGGCACATTTCTAGAAAGAAGCACTAAATTCCCTTTTGAATACCAACATCCTCTTAGGAAGATGGTAGTAAATATTCTCTTGATTTTATAAATGAGGAAACCGAAGTCCAGAGAAATGTAAAGTAACTTGGCTTCAGGTATAGTGAGCTGAGTTGGTGGGGGTACAAAGATTTAAAACTTGGTACTTCAAGCATTTTCCAAGCATGTCTACCATCAGACAAGACAGCAGTGGCTGGAGTATCAAGGACTGTTCTCTCCTGTGAGACAGCCACAAAGAACACTTAGGGCACAGCAGGATGGTGTAGAGAAGAAAAAGCTAGAGGACTTCAATAGCATAAACAATACAGCAAATAAAAATGGGAAAAAAACTAATCCCAGTTACACCAACCCTCAAAGACAGAGATCTTTAATTTAAAATGGAGTAAATTCATTCACAGAGGAAACAGTAACAGAGCACCCTCAGGACGCTTTTAATCCAACAATTAAAACTGCATTAAAAAGCCAACAGGGAGAGTTTGGAAACCTAAAAGACGTGTGGAGAAACTCATGTTCCCCTTTGCTTCGGTTTACACATATTATTTATCTTTTAGGCAAGAGACAGCTGTAGTTAATTTACTGTCTGTAGGACAAGATTTCCGGTTCCATTGTCTTAAGGTGTATGGGATTCTTCAGTGAGAGCCAGAGAAGATGGAAGAGAAGATCAAAGACTGTGATGACTACAGGAATTAAGAAGATGAGACTAATGGCTGGTTCACGGAACCACAATTTTACCACAAACCATCAGATACTGTGGAGAGAGGGGTACTGTACTTCCCAATAATAAAATCTGAGGTATTTAAAGACTCTGCAGACATGGAAACTCACTTCTACCTCCTTCAGAGGTAATGGCAGAGGCTGTGAAGGCTGTCGTGGAAGATCAAAACTCCTTGGACTGACTTCCTGACATACATTAGTGCCAACATCTAACTACGTCTGGACCATGTCAAATACTTCTCTTTGCAAAGTGATCAGTTTATTTTTCAGGATGGGTTCCAAGGCAACAGTGGGATCAATGAAGAGTTCTCCGTCTCTGTTTTTGGCTTGTCTTGGTGCTAAGTCCATGACAATATAAAATAGCATGGTCATCTACTGTAAGACCAGCCTGAGCAAAAGAATGGGACCTCCAAGTCTCAGCTGTCAGAGTTTACCCTAGCCCGTTTTACTTTGCTGTTCTGGTCATCCAGATGGCAGAAACTTTTTGTGGTGATGTGTCTTTTTTTCTCCTCCATGGATTCCAAAGGGAAGTCCTGGTCTGTGGCCAGTACCTGTCGGACAGTCATGTTAACACGAGCAGTTTTCAAGTAGCTAGCACACACCTGCCAGTCCTCCACAGAACAGGGTTCTACCACTGAATCTCTGGGGAGGACAGCTGGGAGAGGCGTCTCAAGGCAGTGTGGCAGGCTTTCCCCCTCGGGATTTGGAAGGACCCGAGGGACTGCATGGTTCAACAGGCGGCTGAAACCTGACATCACCATGATGTCACCACTGTGCATAAACATGGCTGTGGGGGCCTCATCTCTGTTGAGGCCTCCAAGGAGAAAGATGGCAGATTGTCCAAAGCTACAAAAAATAAGTAAAAACAACACACAACAGTAAGTTTCTGTTACTAACCATAGTTGGGAAAGTAACTGCTGACTGCATTTATTTCTAATTTCAACTGGATACTTATTGCTACCAAATTCTCCTTTTTAAACTGTGCTAAGATGCTTCTCTTCTGGCTGTGTCTAAGAGGGACCAACCCATAATCTGCTACCTACACTTATGACAGCCCACAGACATGCTGCAAAATAATAATAATTTAACTTAATACAGTTAAACAAGCAAATGAAGAATTTAGTTTTAACATTATCCAGATAAGCTTTATTGATGCATCTTTAGATTTAAGTCTTTCAATAAAAGTATCTGAGTCCTATATTATGTTTATCATTCCTTCACTTTAAAGATAAGGCAATTAATAAAAGGCACTTTCTTTGTTAAGACATAGGTGCAGGACTTTGCGTAAATTTAAATTTATGTTTTGAGAGATAAGGAGAATAAACTACCCGGGTGTTTGTGTTTTGCTCTATATTTTGCTCCTCTATTCCAAAAAATGGCTTTCCACTTGTCTATTCCACAGAGCACCTTTTGTAATGACAGGCTGACAATACCTCCATGTGTTTTAAACAGAAATAGTAACTATGGTTACTGCTCTTAAAAGATTAGGCTAATTTTACTTTATAATATACCATTAAGATGCCCAGAAATGAAAGATAATAGAGTTCAACCATTTTTTAAAGTTTAATGTTTTTATTTACTTTAGCTTCCAGATACTTTAGAAAAAAGAATTAAATGACAAAAAATAATCCAAAATCCCTGGAACTAACCTACCTGAATGACAGTAAGGGTTTGGAATGATCTAGTTCAGATTTGTCTACGTGGATTCCCAGTGTGGAGTCTAAGCGGTAGTAATTCAGGATACCTGCTTCGGCTTGAAAACCCTGAAATCCACAGGCAGTGGCTACTTGCTCTGAGAGGAAAGCCAGGTCAGAAGGGAAAGGTGTATAATGATCTGCTGAGTATTTCTTTGTAAAAGTAGAGAAAATAAGAAAATAAACAATGATCTCAGGAACACAGGAAACTGGCATACGATTAATTACCACTTTAAAATCATCTAATTTACAAAGTAGTATTAAGGTAGCATTATCTATCCATGCATTTTTGGGGTATCCAGTAATCTAATAATGAACTATTAAAAATATTGAGCACCAGGGCCGGCCCGTGGCTTACTCAGGAGAGTGCAGTGCTGATAACACCAAGGCCATGGTTTCGGATCCTATATAGGGATGGCTGGTTGCTCACTGGCTGAACGTGGTGCTGACGACCCCAAGTCAAGGGTTAAGATCCCCTTACCGGTCATCTTAAAAAAAAAAAAAAAATACCGAGCACCTATTTATGACAGGCACTGTGCTATGCAGTGATAAATTAGACAAATTCACATTGTGTGGAGCCTTTACATGAAGCAATTACTAAACCATTCTCTAGTGTACGTTAACCCTAAACAGGGTAAAAAGGCAACTCAAAACTGTCACTGCCAGGAGGTACCTAAGGAAGCATAATGACTAAATGTAATGTAGTATCCTGAATGAGATCCTGGAACAGAAAATAGGTATTAGTTAAAACTAAGAACAAGATCCAGGGTTTGATCTCTGTACCAGCCAGCCACCAAAAACAAAATGAAAAAACAATAAAACCCAAAACAAAACAAAACAAAACCCTAGAGAAATCTGAATCAAGTACAGACATTACTATTATAAGAATGTATCACTACTGGTTAATTAATTGAGAAGAAGGTAACACACTCATGTAAGGTGTCAATAATAGGGGGAACTGGGTATGAGATCTCACTGTACTATCTTCTCAACTTTTCTGTAAATCTAAACCTACCCAAAAGTTAAAAGTTTACTTAAAAAAAAAAGGCAACTCAAATACGATAGTTTGTTTTCAGACCTCTCAGCTTGCAGCATGGCTTACTGCCAATTTCACTGGTCAATCTAATGGATGACACGCTCAAAACATTTGAATTAATAACCCTGACTTACATCATGGCCAAGGCAGGACATTAAAATGGAAGTAATTTTCAGCACTTATTTCCCTGAACTGCCTCTGTTTTTAGCACCCAAGGATCACAGATATCTTTTTTCACTTAAAAAAAAAAAAAAAAAAGCCACAACACTCACCCCCTCTATAAAGTCTTTCTGCATGCAGTTGATGAGAATGACAAACTGCAGCTGTGGTTAAGACTTTCACTCAGTCTTCTATGCAGATATGTCTGAGGGCTATTTTGGCTGTGCATGCCTGACAGGCTCTTCCTTTGTCTTGAGGCTCCTCCACTCTTGCTTCTTTCTTTGCTAAATCAACCTCAAATCTGAGAGGAAAATTCACATTTGTCTCATATCTCCACTAGTGTACTGATGTATTCTAGCTGGAGCAAGAGTCACAGCTCTGGACAGAAATTATATACTTTGACCAGAAGTGAGCTTCTTCCTTACACCTCTGACTTGAAGTGTCAAAATGACTTTTTTTTGGCAGCTGGCCAGTACTGGGATGTGAACCTGTGGCCTTGTTACAAGGCTGTGCTCTAACCAACTGGTTTTTTGTTTTTGTTTTTTGGTGTTACAAGGCTGTGCTCTAACCAACGGAGCTAACCGGCCAGGCTTTTTAAAAAATTGTTTTTGTTTGTATGGGGATCCCCTTGATCTTGGTGTTATAATATGGGGCTCTAACCAACTGAGCTAACCAGCCAGCTCTGTAAGGAAGACTTTTGTGAAAATCTCTGATGGATGGCCTAGCCTCTTCAGTTGGAACTTCTGTTTTTAATTTTTTTCTCCTTTTACTGAACTGCAAATAAGAAGAGTTCTTATTTAATTTCTCAAAACTAAAGGTGTAGAGAACTTTAAGGTCTCCTCTATCATTTTAAGCTTTAGTCGTTCAGAAGATCAATCAGTCAGAGCTGCTGTTCTAGCTCTGGATACCTTCTGCTATGATGAAATAATTACCTTTTTCGGTTTTCAACCTTATCCAAACTGTATATGTACTACTCTTTTAAAATTCTCTCCTACTTTTCTCTGATTATTCATTCAGAGTTTTTGATAGTTTTCACTCCCCGTTTTTCTTAGCAAATGAGGCTATGACGTTATTGGAAATAACATATCAATAATAAGAATATTATCATCAAAAACAATAGCTAACATTTATTGTGCTAATGCATTTAACTCCTTAGAATAGCCATTCACGGTTGTAATCACTTAACTGCAGGCATTCATCACTTAATTCTCACAACCACCTTACAAGGTAGGCACTATCATTACTGGAGGCGGGATTCAAACCCAGGCCATCTAACCAAAGAATATCACCATGGCCATTTCCTTGAATACAAATATTGAGTTTCCAGGGCTGGCCAGTTAGCTCAGTTGGTTAGAGGGTGGTGTTGATAACACCAAGGTCAAGGGTTTGGATCCCTGTACCTGCCAGCTGCCAAAAAAACCCTGACCAAACAAACAAAAAAGAAATGTCTAGTTTCCCATTAAATCTGTATTGCTGAAAATAATAATTCTATCACAAATATTTTTAAAGCAACATCTGTCATTATTTAGAGCAGTTAATATATTTGTTTTTTTTTTGTCTTTTGTCTTTTTTCCGTGTCCGGCAATGGATTGCAACCCTCAGTGTTGCCCCCGTACCGGACCGGGGACCGGCAACGGGATTGCAAGCCTCGGTGTTGCTCCCGCGCCTCGCTCAGCCAGTGAGCGGGAGCCGGTCTGTATGTGGGATCCGAACCCTCGGACGGGAGCGCCTCCGCGCTTCCCAAGCGGCGCACTATCCAGTGCGCCACCGGGCCGGCCCAGTATATTTGTTAATAATAATAAGTTGGGCTAAAACTATGGAGCTTTTAGAAAGTAACTGGTTAGTAGGAAGAGAAGATGGTCTATAACCAAAATGTTTTATTCAGTGTACTCTCAGAATCAGTCCTTCTACTTGGTGGCAAACATTTCATTGAGATAAGAGGCACTGTGTGGCTAGTGACAAATGAGGTATTTTCTGAAGCAAAGAAGAAATTGTAGCTCACAAAAAAAATGGAACTTTGTTATCTGTAGGAAATTCTTTTCTACCTCTCTCCTGCCCAGACATTACACAGCAGGCAAAGGTATCTAGACCTTGAAAGTTCTTTTGTGAGTTGATGGGAGAGAACACTAGAAGTATATGGAGCTTCTTTTGCCCCAGGCGAATACGTAGAAAGTAAATGCTCAACAAACTCTAAAGAATAATGGAAATAAAGATGACAATATTGAGAGTGGCTCTTGAGAGCAATAAATAAGAATATATATCCCTGAAATCTACTTTGAGAAAGTATTGATGACTTCTGATCAAATAATATAAACTGAGGGCACATGAAGAAGAAATTCTCTCCTGATAAATTATTAATTCCTCTTGAGATACCTGAGTTTTTTTTGGTGACTGGCCAGGATGGGGATCTGAACTCTTGACCTTGGAATTATAATACCATGTTCTAACCAACTGAGCTAACTTGCCAGCCCTTTGAAGAGAGAGACTTTAGGAGAGAATAAATAAAAGAGATCCTTTCATAAACGATAATCTGATTCTTTAAGCTTGGCCAGGAAGAAATCTGTCTATGTGGACCCAAGAAGCATACAAATGAAAAACAGAAGAATTAAGAAAATCGGAATACCTTACTGTCCCAGTTATAATGGTAGCCCAGGGTCACCCAGCGTAGTTTCTCCAGTAAACTTCGGGGTCTCCGTTTATTCACTTCTTTATACCTGCAAAGATTGGCGACAAAAGAGGATTCATTCATCTCCAATGGAAGCAATAGCCCTTTGTATGGACCCTGGAGTCTAAATATGGTATTTCATGGTATAAGCTGTTAGCCAAGACGTGGTGGGAGAAATTAGGACAGACAAATGTGTTGATCAAGAATATAATAATAAGTGAAATAAGTAAAGCGTAGAGGGATAAATACCGCATGTACTCATCCATAAGTGGGAGGTAAGAGAGAGAGAAGGAAGGAAAGAAAGTCCACAGTGGCGCGTTGGACTTGCAGATGGAGAGAACATACCTTGGGATACAAAGTTGCGGAGGGGGGTTGGGGATAACTGTGTGGGGGACATGGGGTACAAACACAATTTGTGGTAATGTGCATGTTGCCAGTATGGATCTGGCTTTCACATCTTGGGCACGAGGGGTGACAACCAGCTTTGTATCTCATGAATATTCATAACCAATTAAAAAAAAAGCCATAATAATAGTAGAAAACATGCTAGCATTTCTAATTTCTAGTCTTTGGTTCTAAATCCTCTGCTGAATGGCATCAACTTTAAATGACAAATCTCCAGCATCTCAATAACGATAAAACAAGAATGACAACAAAATTGTCTTTATCTGTCACGGAAAATGGGACCGAGAACACTATGGGCAATTGAAAATATGGCTAACAGAACATTTTCAATTTGGTTTGCTAAAAGTGGGATATGATTAGTAGTTATTACTATGTCTATAACGATGGTGGCTTCCCAGAATTGCAGATTGGAGGAAAGAAAAGTTTGGCAAATGTAGTATACAATAAAAAATAACTGGTTTAACATGATTTCTTTAACCTCGTATAACATAGCTTAGATTACTGAAGCTTAGCTAACAATGATGGCACCATTGTAATTGATTTGGTTTCTGACATCCCCTTGTTCAAACTACAGAAAATTTCTATAAAACACACAGGTATGCTTTCTGCAATTATACCTTGGCTGATGAAATATATGGGATTGACTACTCTTTCTAAAGAGGAAATTTGTTTGATTCATCTCTTAATATCTACAAATATAATGCTAGGTCTAATTTTATTTAGTTAATTTGTTTCTGTGTAATTTTTATCATTAATCAATCACAATTTTTTGGTTCAAAACCCACGCTGTTTAAAAAAGATCAGACTCCTTTAAAAAGTTTATATTCTGACATATGACACATATAAGAATGGAAAGTTTAGGGAGAAAAGGGGGGAAAATTCTAGGCAGTATAAAGTCTAGTATTAAACTGAATAGCAAAGCCATTGAGGGGTACTAGAATTTAGAAAAAGGACAGCTCAAAGTCAGCTGTCTAATCAGTTAAGGCTTCCTGGCAGAGTTGGGAGTTTAGCATGGCATTGAAGAATGGTCAGCATTTAAACAGGCAGTGATGTAGCAGGTAATATGGGCACACAGCACAAACAAGAGCAAAGTATTTATTAGAGGCCTATACTATACATGGCATTCATCTTGATGTTTGACGAAGTTTACAGAATACATGCTATTTGTTCTCACAGAGTTTACATTCTAAGAAAGACACTGTGACGTACATCAAGACCAGTACAGATAAAAGGAAAGAAAAAAACACTGATTTATTTAGCACAGGTGTGCAGAAAAGAGACACAACAGATCTGACTGCTGGCCTGCTTACAAAGGTGGTCCATGGCAGGCATGTGGAATCTGGATTTTGAGAGGGTTCACATCATTCCCCAAACTGATAAGAACGGCTCACTGTGCCTCAACTGTTTGTATAAACAATATGGTTAATGTTGAACACCTGCTTTCCTTCTCGGAGTGTGGAATTTTAGTAAGTGTCAGGCAGAGACTGCCAATGTGACCAGTCCCTAGTAAAAACTTTGGCACTTAGCTTCTTTGCTAGACATTTCATAGATTTTTGTCAAAACTTGTTGCTGGGAAAATTAAGCACATCCAGTGACTTTACTGGAAAAAGGATCCTCAGAAGCTTATACCTAGTTTTCCCTGGATTTTGTTCCATGCACCTCTTCCCTTTGCCGGTTTTGCTTTGTATGCTTTCACTGTAATAAATCTTATCTGTGAGTACAACTATATGCTGAGTCCTGTGAGTCCTCCTGGAGAATCATCAAACTTGGGTATGGTCTTAGGGACTCCCAAGCACAACAGAAGACAGACAACTAAGAATTTTTAAAAAGATATGTAAGGCCTGGCTAGTGACTACAAGTAGCTGATCTAAACAATTATATGGTTAACAACCATGAGCTATTTCTGTGTGTAAAAACTAAAGAAAGAAAAAAAACTGCAATGCAGTTATTAAAACAACTTGAGTTCTACCAATGTTTATTCAGCTAAAGGTACAAAAATAAGAATTCCCTGATGTTCTCCTCTGGAGAACATGTTCTATTTTAGTAGCCTAAGACAGGAAAATGAGTATGATCTCTTATTTTTGGACTCGTGAATTTTGTGGTTAGTGGAAATATAAATGTAGTCCTGGAGTTACAAAAGCACCCTATAGAGGTGATCCATTCTATTTCTCTTTCCAAGATATTATTGTATACTCAATTCCTTATTTAAAGGTAGTCTCTAAGACAGGAGAAAATGCTGCTTAAGAAAAAGATGATGATTTTATGGATATTGAAGCTACGTGTTTTTGAGGAGGGGAAAAAGAAAGATGCTTAAGTCAATACTTTAAGACTGGAATCCAGAACTCAAAATAGATGGTGCCCTGAGTATCTAATCCCGATGGCAAAAAGAAGAGCTGTACAGAACGCTTTTATAGAATCGGTCTGTACCCCACTTAGTTTTTGCCCAGTAGTTCTCCATCTTTAATGTGTATCAGAATCATCTAGAGGGCTTGTGAAAACTCAGATGGCTGGGCCCAGGCCTATAAATTCTGATTTGGCAGATGTAAGGTAGGGCCAAAGAACATGCACTTCTAACAAGTTCCCAAATGATGCTGATCCAGGGACCACACTTTGAGAACCATTATTACAGTCAAAACTGAAAAACAAAATACCCTCCATCTCTTTCTAGCTTAATAACAGATCATTTTATTCTTGACAAAGAATCCATACACACTATAATATATTAAAACCAGACTGATCTGAACAATAAAGATAACAATGATGTAGCTTTGGAAATAATTCAAAAGGTGATGGTATTTCACACATTTAATACAGCACCAACAAACTGCTTTTCCATCAAAAAATTGTTTCCATCAAATAATGTTCTTCAAGGGCATACTTTATTATAATACAAGATTTATGTTATTAACAATAAAGATTATCAAAATTATTATAGTGATAAACAAACATGAGCAGAACCATCCTGGAATATACCTTTTCTAAATTAGTTCCTTTTCTAAGAAACCAAAAGAACGTCTCTTTTCTATTTTAACTGTATTATGTATAAAAAGGCTTTGAGCTCAGCCTTATATTATAGAAGGGGACTCGATGAGGACGTAAAAGTGAGGAGTGGTACTTTCAAAAGCATTAAACCCAATCCTCATAATAAAAAGAAAAAAGAATAGCTTAAAAACTTGCTTTGGGGCCGGCCCGTGGCTCACTCGGGAGAGTGCGGTGCTGATAATACCAAGGCCACGGGTTTGGATTCCATATAGGGATGGCCGGTTAGCTCACTGGGTGAGCGTGGTGCTGACAACACCAAGTCAAGGGTTAGGATCCCCTTACTGGTCATCTTTAGAAAACAAAACAAAACAAAACAAAAAAACTTGCTTTGTGCAAGAAAAGTCATGGTCCTTGGGCCGAGCCCGTGACGCACTTGGGAGAGTGCAGCGCTGGGAGTGCAGCAGCACTCCCTCCGCGGGTTCGGATCCTATATAGGGATGACCGGTGCGCTCACAATGCTCACTGGCTGAGCACGGTGCGGCCGGTCTCAAAAAGGACAAAAAAAAAAAAAAAAAAAGTCATGGTCCTTGATTGCTGGTGCCACTCTGAGGGAAACGACATATACATTCTGTGTAACGTATTAGATCTACGTAGGTGCAAGATTCCATCCCTCATTTCATATCTTCTTCTGAGAACTTGATTTGAATTCTTGCCTTTGTATTTTCTGGAAGAAGTAGCAACAACTGTTAACATTTACCTTCAAGATGTGAGAGCATGGGCCGGCCCGGTGGCGCACTGCTACAGTGCGCCGCTTGGGAGCGCGGTGGCGCTCCTGCCGAGGGCTCAGATCCCACATACAGACCGGTTCCCGCTCACTGGCTGAGCGAGGTGTGGGAGCAACACCGAGGGTTGCAATCCTGTTGCCGGTCCCGGTCCGGTACGGGCGCGACACTGAGGGTTGCGATCCGTTGCCAGACACGAAAAAAGACAAAAAGGAAAAAAAAAAAAAAAGATGTGAGAGCAGGACTGTCCAGCACTACACATTTCTTATCTTAGTACTACTTACCAACCCCTCTGGTTCCCATGAGCCTCTTGGGTAACAAAGACTCCAAAAAATTTGCTCTTGCACACTGTTAATAGTAAAAGGCCAAAGCCAAATTTAAATGCTCCCAGATCATTTTCAAGCATAAAATATTGAAGAAACAATGAAGAAGTTGGGCTGTTCTGTTTTTAAACCTGACTTGTCCAAAAGGAGGCCAAGAAAGACCAGTGCCAATGGACCTCCCATATTCACCCTGAAGAATGCAGGAAATATGTTGGCACCTAACTTAACTTTAAATCTTTATCCAATTATTCAAAAGAATGATTTCAAGCAAGCATGACCCTAATCATTGGTTCTCACTGCAAACAGAAACACGCTATGCTTCCTGCCTCCCCACCACCCCCAGGCACTAGTGAGAAGATGATGGATGGGTGGGCTTGCCACCTTCTCCCCAGGTGAACATGCTCACACAGCAGTTTGCTCGGTTTCTGTCACGGGTAAGTGCCTTATGTGAGTGTTGGCATTTCTCTCAGCAATCACTTTCTACAGCTCTGTTTTAAACTGAACCTTAACTGGGTGGAAATGAATTCCTATTCTGCTTGTCCACTTTCTTTACAATG